TAAACATGGAGCAGGGTAAGCATGGAGGAGGGTCAGCATGGAGTAGGGTAAGCATGGAGGAGGGTCAGCATGGAGGAGGGTCAGCATGGAGTAGGGTCAGCATGGAGTAGGGTCAGCATGGAGGAGGGTCAGCATGGGGGAGGGTCAGCATGGGGGAGGGTCAGCATGGACGAGGGTAAGCATGGAGGGTAAGCATGGAGGAGGGTCAGCATGGAGGAGGGTCAGCATGGAGGACGGTCAGCATGGGGAGGGTAAGCAGAGGAGGGGAAGCATGGAGGAGGGTCAGCATGGAGGAGGGTCAGCATGGAGGAGGGTCAGCATGGAGGAGGGTCAGCATGGAGGAGGGTCAGCATGGAGGAGGGTAAGCATGGAGGAGGGTAAGCATGGAGGAGGGTCAGCATGGAGGGGTAGCATTGGGGGGTCAGCATGGAGAGGGTCAGCATGGAGGAGGTCAGATGGGGGTCAGCTGGAGGAGGGTCAGCATGGAGGAGGGTCACAGGAAGAGGTTTACATGGGGAGGGGCAGCATGGAGGAGGGTCAGCATGGAGGAGGGGAAACATGGAGGAGGGTCAGCATGGAGGAGGGTCAGCATGGAGGAGGGTCAGCATGGAGGAGGGTCAGCATGGAGGAGGGTCAGCATGGAGGAGGGTCAGCATGGAGGAGGGTCAGCTGGGAGGGTCAGCATGGAGGAGGGTCAGCATGGAGGGGGGGGGTCAGCATGGGAGGGTCAGCATGAGGAGGGTCACATGGAGGAGGGTCACAGGAGGGTCAGCATGGAGGAGGGTCAGCATGGAGGGTCAGCATGGAGGAGGGTCAGCATGGAGGGTCAGCATGGAGGAGGGTCAGCATGGAGGGTCAGCATGGAGGAGGGTCAGCATGGAGGTCAGCATGGGGAGGAGTCACATGGAGGGTCAGCATGGAGGAGGGTCAGCATGGAGGGTCAGCATGGAGGAGGGTCAGCATGGAGGGTCAGCATGGAGGAGGGTCAGCATGGAGGGTCAGCATGGAGGAGGTCAGCATGGAGGTCAGCATGGAGGAGGTCAGCATGGAGGGGTCAGCATGGAGGAGGGTCAGCATGGAGGTCAGCATGGAGGAGGGTCAGCATGGAGGGTCAGCATGGAGGAGGGTCAGCATGGAGGGTCAGCATGGAGGAGGGTCAGCATGGAGGGTCAGCATGGAGGAGGGTCAGCATGGAGGAGGGTCAGCATGGAGGAGGGTCAGCATGGAGGAGGGTCAGCATGGAGGGTCAGCATGGAGGAGGGTTAACATTACACAAATAACCCGCACAATGGAGGACAAGTGTCAAACACGATGTACCGTAAAAGACCCCAACGTTATTTTTATCATGGAAAGCGCTAAATCCGTGCGAGTCAGGTCATTCAGCAACACAATAATACAAATGTTTATTGATAATACCTACAACTTAAAACTGATATTCCTATAAAACAAGATATCCTTAACTAGGAACACCACCGCTTAAGATTACCACTTAGAAAACTAGCAAAGATTTGGTTTCGTTGGAAAACTAGCAGTCTAACTCACCCTAAAAGGAATAACTTTTAAATGTGCTCTTCTGCACTCCCTTGGCCACATTTTAAACCTTAATTAATTTACACTCTGAAGGAAGGGTGGGGGAATGTTGCAGTCTGGAGAGTCATCTGAACCATGATGCCAGACAGGAGTCATTGAATGAATGATGGTGAAGAGTTCTTTTTTTTCGGATCACCCTACCTCGGTGGTAGACGGTCGGTGTTTTAAATATATGCAAAGTATATATAAATATAAATTATATGTATACATAATAAACACGCGCGCGCGCACACAGGTACGATAAAGCTCTTGTAACAGGGAGTGGACCTAGTAGCGACCTAGTAACAACCACCTTGGTCACTCCTGCAGTGTTTAAAGCTACCTGGTATCCTTTTATGTCCTCTGTTCGTACTATATAATAGTTTGACATTATCAGTATGTGTACTTTCATAGTTCTGGTTACAGGGGAGGGAGAGGGAGGGACGGTTGATTCATAGCTCCTGGGATAGCCTAATAAATCAGTAACCGGATATACTGCTTCCTGGTGTCCAGGGCCCGATCGTATTTACTTTGAAACTGTGTCTACCTTCACTAATTCAGTTATTAACCAAAGATTGAAAAATATATTTCCTAACATCTTTGTGGCATATCTGCAACTTTAGTCGCCATCTGTAGTTCCTGGCTCCCTCGCCTCGCATTTTAAGTCTCGCCATCTACTGTTAGTTAACAACTAGGTGTCAAACGCACTTGTTGGTAGACACTTGGCCTGTTGTGTTTTGTATACTCACATATTTGTACTCACCTATTTGTGGTTGCAGGGGTCGATTCATAGCTCCTGGCCCCGCCTCTTCACTGACTGCTACTAGGTCCTCTCTCTTCCTGCTCCATGTGTGGTGTGTGTTTGTGTACGTGTGTTTATAATCAAAACGTGAAGTGTAAACGCTAGGAGTTAAGACTCTGCTACTAAAATCGAGGTTACTGTATCAGACTAAGTGTGCATCCGGTGACACCGTCCACTTGCTACACTATGTTTTAAGATATATCAAAGACTACTATTCTGTATCAAACGCACAAGTTCGCGTCTCCACTGTAAAAAAAAAAAACACTTGCGAATGCCTTAGTTCATCAACAAGTTTTCTGGAAATCTTTGTGATCTTGACAAGGAATAAAGGAAAGGCAGCAAAAACAGAGTGAAACACTGCCTTTGAAGCGATAACATTTCTCTAGAAGACTTGCCAAACAATGCCAACGTTGATGTTCTTTCTTACGGTTTCTTCAACCCTCCCAAGATGCTCCAATATAGCCAGTGAGTGTAACCTCAACTATGTGTACGTGTCACTGAAGATATGTGTGAAGTCACTACACGAGGCAATGTGAACATCACGCACTGAATATACAGCATGCAGATGTCCCGTGCATGCAAAAATGGCAGTGACGATAGTGAATTTTAAGTGGACCCACCAGAGTGTAAGTTTATTTAGGCATAGGTACACACAAGTACAATCATCATGTGTAAACTACCTAGGATACCCCCCCCCCCACCCAAAAAAAAAAAAAAAAAAAAAAAAAAAAAAAAAAAAAAAAAAAAAAACGCCAGTGACATTTCCATTTGGGGGACTAAGAAAATACTTTCCAAAGAACTTAACTCACGAAATCGTAATGACACGATTGCAAACAAACCACGGGCGGGGATAGAACTCTCTGATCGCGGGTTTTATCCCCGCCCGTGGTATGGTTTCTTTCCAAAGAATCCGAGAACCGTTCCTTATGGAATGCAGGAAGAGGAGAGTAAAACTGTACTAGGCGACTCCAGGCTTGATGGTTAACTCGTCTCTTATTATTAACAATATACAATACCGACTAGGTTCACAACCAAAGTGACGTAAGTTTGATTCCCAGGCTAGAGGATGCGTATGGGTTAGGCTTCCACCTGTTGCCAATATTTACTTAGCATTAAATAGGTATCTGGGTGCTGGTAGACTGTTGTGAGTCGCAGCTTGAGCACTGCCAGATATACGGGCAAGTCTCCTCACACCTGCTGCCCTTATTCACCAAGCAATAAATAGGTAGCTGGGTGTTAGAGAGTGATGTGAGTGGCATCCCGGGGAAAAGAAAGGGTGAGGGAGGGAGGATAATATACCATAAAGAAGGCTGGGCTTTGATACGTTAAAAAAGGCAGGACTCTGAAATGAAAGGAAACAGGGAAAGTCTCAGTCTGTACATTAATTAACCTGTGCAAAGTAACCTTCATTGGTATTTTCTTTCACAAAAATGTGTATACAAGCTTAGATAATCCCTACGGGTTTCGCACTCCCATTTTAATGAAAAAGGTCACTAAGGCTGCTGTAACCTGAACACAATAACCAGTCACTGACTACAGAAGGTCACTAAGGCTGCTGTAACCTGAACACAATAACCAGTCACTGACTACAGAAGGTCACTAAGGCTGCTGTAACCTGAAACAATAACCAGTCACTGACTACAGAAGGTCACTAAGGCTGCTGTAACCTGAACACAATAACCAGTCACTGACTACAGAAGGTCACTAAGGCTGCTGTAACCTGAACACAATAACCAGTCACTGACTACAGAAGGTCACTAAGGCTGCTGTAACCTGAACACAATAACCAGTCACTGACTACAGAAGGTCACTAAGGCTGCTGTAACCTGAACACAATAACCAGTCACTACCTGAGGGTCATTAATTTAAAGCAATAAGTAATCTGGACACCGTCAGTCAAGGATACCATGTACCTAAATTACCGATTACAATTAACTTTCAGTGTATATATGCACTGCGAGACATACACCTTTTGGTATATCTAACCTTAAATGAGAAAACGTTTAACTACGGACACACAAAAAAGGGTAAAAGTATGAGAACACAGCGAGTCTGAAAAGTTGCAGAGAGAAGGCGGGAGGCAGTCATGTCGTGTTTAAGAGCAATGTTTGGTGTGAATATTATGTCGAGTTTGTAGCGTAGAAATTAGATACGAGATTATCCAAGGTATAATTCAAGAGGATACATGAGGGGTTGAGGTGGTATGGATATTTAGACTGTGAAGGGCAATAAGATGACCAACAGTGTGTATACATCTTCGGGTGGAAGAGAGAGGAGGGTCATCTCGGGAAGGATTTAAGTACTAGAGGCTTGAGCATCCTGCAGTCTTCCGTGTGTTAGACAAGTGGTTTTTATTGATATGCTGTTGGAGTATGAGCAAAGTAATATTTATGGATTCAGGTAAACCGGTTAGCCGGGCTTGATTCTTGGAGGAGGGCAATGTCTGCACTCTGAAGGACAGGTGGGGATGCTGCAGTTCTGAGGGAGATCTGAACACTGTAATGTCAGAGCACTTCTGGAAAGACAGCTATTGAATAAATGATGGTGAATGTGATTCCTTTTTCGGGGGTCCCCTGCCTCGGTGAGAGAAGACCAGTGTGTTAAAAGCTTATGTTATGAATGAGGATCAGGAGATACGATAAAGCTATGGATAAGGATGAAGGGATACATACAATAAAGGTATACTCACCACAATCTGGTATTCCGCCTCCTCGCTGCTGGATCCTTGTGGGTGTTTGTGGGCGGTAGTGTGGGTGTGCTCACATCGCTGGTTGTGTGGGGCTGCTGTGGGTGGATACATGAGGCAACCATCGTGAAGACACGCCCCTACACACCCCAACCCGCACCCGCTTCCCGCACCACCTGGGCCATACCCGCAAACTGGCCCCACGCCATACCCTCCAACGGAGCCACCGTACCCGCTCACCGACCCGCAATACCCGCCTATGGTGCCCAGACACCCACTGTGAGGGCTAGTATGCCCACCTCGCAATGAATGATAACGAGCACTGGGACTCATATACCCGCTGGTGGGGGTATTGTAACCCCCTGCGGGACTAGTGTACCCAACAGTGGGGCTGGTATACCCACTCACCATACCCGTATACCCGGGGTCGGGACTGGCGTACCCGATATTAGGACTAGTATAGCCCGGTGGGGGGCTAATGTACCCTGGAGGAAGAGGGGTGTACCCAAGGCCAGTATAGCCGTGGATAGTAGCTCCTAGCCCGGCGTGTACCGTACATCCCGGGTGGCCGCAGGCGTGGGCGGGGCTAGAAGGTGCCAACACGTACTGCGCGTGCGTGGGCGTGGTGTAGAGGTGGGTGGCGTGGGTCAGTGATGGACCTGAGGTACAGGTAACTGGAGGACTCTCGTAGCAACCTTCTGTATACACAAAACACAATGGGGTCATCAAAATAGTCTTTCATTCGCCTCCGCCAAGCAAAACAATTGACTCAAGTTATGCAGATTCTTTAACAGGTTAAGTTAAATCCAGAATGAATGAATATAAGATGAAGGAGCCACTGCAGCAATCTTAAGAGCAGTGTAGTGCAGTGCTTCAAGCACCAAGCTGGTAACAGCATCTCTACACTGCCAGCTCTCACTACCATCACTCCTCTAAAGAGGTTTGGTAAATTACTAAGCTATTGTATATGACGTAAATTTTAAGTACGTTCAGTTATTCCGAGTAATAAATAAAAAAAACTCATGCCAGAAATATGCATAACTTTTGTTCAGGATTTTCCTTGGTGTTGGTGAATATTAATGTAATCTGCAACAATAGCATTCTCACACATCAAACAGGTTTATAATTAGCATAATATATGAATTATGGTAGACTTACAGTGTACGAAATTAAAGTATTGTGGAGTTTAATCAAGTCTGAGCAGGAAGTTGAGGAGAACTCACCGATAATGTTGTAGTTACAGAGAGGACAAGTGCGGTGCTGGAGGAGCCATGGGTCAACACAGGCGCGGTGGAACTCGTGTTTACAGGGCAGAACTCTTAGTTCTTGATGAGGTCGGTATTCCTCTAGACACACCACACACACCTGCGTTACCAAGTAACATGTGAGGCACAACAACACGTACGAGAAGAAGAATAGAATCCTAAGGTTTGTTTAATCCTGGGAGGGTTGTTAACCTAAAATAATTCCCACAAAGGAAGAAGCGTAGTTTATGCTAGGTCCTACCCTAGGAAGAAACCAATACCTAGCTATCTACTGACTAACAGTAGAAGAGTGACGACTAATGTAGGGAGAGTTGTCCATACGTCACCTCACGTCACTGTCTGGGAGGCAACGCTCTCGCCTCACACAGTGTCAGTGGTTCAGTCCCCGGCCCGATGGACCTTATACCTGCTGTCACTGTTCACCTAGCAGTAAGTGCCTGGGTGTTAGCTGACTGGTGTGGGTCGCACCCCGGGGGACAAGATTGAAGGACCACAGTGGAAATAGGAGACAGTCCTACCTAACGCACTGATTTTCTTGGGTTATCCTGGGTGGCTAACCCTCCAGGTTAAAAATCCCAACAAAATCTTATCTCTTAACCCGGTACGTCTGGGTTGCGAGCAGATCATTATAGACCTGACCTACAAGTCACCAAGATTGTAGCATCTAGATATTATTCCACTTAGTAAAACAATTTCCTATAACATGCAAAATACATCTGGCATTTAAAAGTTTTAAATTTCGTCAATATAAATTAGTCACCCGTCAGTTCGCTCACAGTACACAAACACACTATTACATAGTATCAAATCAAGGAACGGGTGGGACTCGAACTCGTACCTGGAGGTTGTTTCAGGGGTCAACGCTCCCGTGGCCCGGTCCATGACCAGGCCTGTGGTTAACGCATTGGCCAGCAAGTCTGAGGACTCACCCGTTCCCTGTGTTTGTAACTGTGATTACGATTCCGCAAGTCACTATACAGCAGTGACAACTGTGACTGTGCTGGGACACTATTATTTATGAGATGAATCAGAAAGATAATGGAAAACTAAATGATTTGAAGCTCCACTCAACGAACTGGTAATATTAAAACATTCTGTAAGTAAAAGGACATAAGTGCAACTAATGTGACGTTTTATTGTGGCAACGTTTCGCTCTCCAGGAGAGCGAAACGTTGCCACAATAAAATGTCACATTAGTTGCACATTAAAACATTCGCTGGGAGGAGCGCTAAACCCATGGCGGTCAAACTGCATGGGAATGGGAGGCAACCAACTATGATCCAAGGAAAGGGAAAGCAGCTCTAATTCTCTGGATCAAGAGCCCTTGACCAGCAAGGTAGCAGCAGGAATTATTGCTAGTCACCACAAAATACTAATTTTACTTTTTAGGAAAAAATGTCTTGATGGTACCACCATAACTACCATAGTTACCTGATGGTACCACCATAACTACCATAGTTACCTGATGGTACCACCATAACTACCATAGTTACCTGATGGTACCACCATAACTACCATAGTTACCTGATGGTACCACCATAACTACCATAGTTACCTGATGGTACCACCATAACTACCATAGTTACCTGATGGAACCACCATAACCACCATAGTTACCTGATGGTACCACCATAACTACCATAGTTACCTGATGGTACCACCATAACTACCATAGTTACCTGATGGTACCACCATAACTACCATAGTTACCGATGGTACCACCATAACTACCATAGTTACCTGATGGTACCACCATAAACTACCATAGTTACCTGATGGTACCACCATAACTGCCATAGTTTCCTGATGGTACCACCATAACTACCATAGTTACCTGATGGTACCACCATAACTGCCATAGTTACCTGATGGTACACCATAACTGCCATAGTTACCTGATGGTACCACCATAACTACCATAGTTACCTGATGGTACCACCATAACTACCATAGTTACCTGATGGTACCACCATAACTACCATAGTTACCTGATGGTACCACCATAACTACCATAGTTACCTGATGGTACCACCATAACTACCATAGTTACCTGATGGTACCACCATAACTACCATAGTTACCTGATGGTACCACCATAACTACCATAGTTACCTGATGGTACCACCATAACTACCATAGTTACCTGATGGTACCACCATAACTACCATAGTTACCTGATGGTACCACCATAACTACCATAGTTACCTGATGGTACCACCATAACTGCCATAGTTACCTGATGGTACCACCATAACTGCCATAGTTACCTGATGGTACCACCATAACTGCCATAGTTTACCTGATGGTACCACCATAACTGCCATAGTTACCTGATGGTACCACCATAACTACCATAGTTACCTGATGGAACCACCATACATAACTACCATAGTTACCTGATGGAACCACCATATATAACTACCATAGTTACCTGATGGTACCACCATAACTACCATAGTTACCTGATGGTACCACCATAACTACCATAGTTACCTGATGGTACCACCATAACTACCATAGTTACCTGATGGTACCACCATAACTACCATAGTTACCTGATGGTACCACCATAACTACCATAGTTACCTGATGGTACCACCATAACTACCATAGTTACCTGATGGTACCACCATAACTACCATAGTTACCTGATGGTACCACCATAACTACCATAGTTACCTGATGGTACCACCATAACTACCATAGTTACCTGATGGTACCACCATAACTGCCATAGTTACCTGATGGTACCACCATAACTACCATAGTTACCTGATGGTACCACCATAACTACCATAGTTACCTGATGGTACCACCATAACTGCCATAGTTACCTGATGGTACCACCATAACTACCATAGTTACCTGATGGTACCACCATAACTACCATAGTTACCTGATGGTACCACCATAACTACCATAGTTACCTGATGGTACCACCATAACTACCATAGTTACCTGATGGTACCACCATAACTACCATAGTTACCTGATGGAACCACCATACATAACTACCATAGTTACCTGATGGAACCACCATATATAACTACCATAGTTACCTGATGGTACCACCATAACTACCATAGTTACCTGATGGAACCACCATAACTACCATAGTTACCTGATGGTACCACCATAACTACCATAGTTACCTGATGGTACCACCATAACTACCTTAGTTACCTGATGGTACCACCATAACTACCATAGTTACCTGATGGTACCACCATAACTACCATAGTTACCTGATGGTACCACCATAACTACCATAGTTACCTGATGGTACCACCATAACTACCATAGTTACCTGATGGTACCACCATAACTACCATAGTTACCTGATGGTACCACCATAACTACCATAGTTACCTGATGGTACCACCATAACTACCATAGTTACCTGATGGTACCACCATAACTACCATAGTTACCTGATGGTACCACCATAACTACCATAGTTACCTGATGGTACCACCATAACTACCATAGTTACCTGATGGTACCACCATAACTACCATAGTTACCTGATGGTACCACCATAGTTACCTGATGGTACCACCATAACTACCATAGTTACCTGATGGTACCACCATAACTACCATAGTTACCTGATGGTGCTACCATAAATCTACCATTACTACCTAAAAGCACAATACATTCTCTTAAAGACTACTGCGGATATATAGGCGAATGCATTATCATTATAATCAAGGGGAAGCGCTAAACCCGGACGATTATACAGCGCCTGGGGGGGGGGATGTGGAAGGCATTCAGGCTTAATTCGGGGAACTGGAGCACAGATCAAATTCCTTAAATCAAGAGCCCCTCACCAACATCAAGGAACTAGCATCATCTTAAAAAGTTCAGGTGTTGTAAGTTGACCGCGAGGTGTAGTCTCGTCCTTATATGCCTTCCTGATCTTTTATTTTTATAGTTCCTTGATAATGTGAGAAGTCACGAAAGTTCCTGGAATTTCACTATTTTTTCACAGTGGTTGTTCTGCATATTGTGATATATCACCTGTTTACTGTGATCTTATTACATATTATACATAATTAAGGACTAGTGACTCACCTCAGGACCTTCAGACAGAACTGATATCTCATGACTGCCTTCTTCCTCATCCTCCTCTGTTTCTTCTTCCTCTCCTCCTTTACCACTCTCTTCTTCGCCGCTTCCACCGCCACCCCCACCGCCGCCGCTGCCGCCGCCGCCGCCGCCGCCGCCTCCTCCTCCTCCTCCTCCTCCACCAGTTCCTCCTCCACTACCACCTCCTCCTCCTCCTCCTCCTTCACTCCTAGTAAGCTTCACTACTGTCTTCTTCTTCTTAAGTTTGACTTTAATCTTGTGTTTCTCGTCTTTCTTCTTGTCCTTGTATCTTCTACATTCCATCCGTGAGAGCGCTCGCTTGGCTTGTTGTGCCAGTGTGTTCTGTCCAACCAATAATAATAATAATAATTATACAAATACACTACTAATAATCACAGCAAATACAACAATCAGTGAGTATTATTATTATTTAGGTATTAGATATATGTGAAGGTGTGTTCCTCCTGTGATCTGTACAGAACCTTGAGCATAGCAACACTGATAAGTGGACTGACCTCACATTACATTTATATGACACGCAAGTCTGCAAGACGAACTTCCTTACATCTGAGCACCACTGGTAGTGTCCCTACAACATCTGAGCACCACTGGTAGTGTCCCTACAACATCTGAGCACCACTGGTAGTGTCCCTACATCTGAGCACCACTGGTAGTGTCCCTACAACATCTGAGCACCACTGGTAGTGTCCCTACAACATCTGAGCACCACTGGTAGTGTCCCTACAACATCTGAGCACCACTGGTAGTGTCCCTACAACATCTGAGCACCACTGGTAGTGTCCCTACATCAACCTTGCCATCCTCTACATGACAAGCAGTGTTGTATCGTTCACCATGTTTTGTAACATCAACATGAACGTGAATTATGTCACCATAAAAACTATAAAAGGAATCATTTGACTTCACGGACGCAGTAACAACTAACAGCGGAGTTGACAGTGTTCCCTGCGAAGATACAATACTCTTTGTTACGTTGTCAAGATAGAATATAATCCTGGGACTCTTGAAGAAGATAAATACGTATGTTAAATGGAGCATGACAAGGCATGCATCGTAATGGTGAAGGTGGTGGTAGTGGTAGTAGAAGTATTAAGATAAGATTTTGTTCGGATTTTTAACCCACGAGGGTTAGCCACCCAGTATAACCCAAGAAAGGCAGTGCGTCATCGAGGGCGTCTTAATTTCCATTGGGGTCTTCAGTTTTATTCCTTAAGATGCGACCCACACCAGTCGACTAACACCCAGGTACCTACTTGCTTGCTAGATGAACGGGACGACAGGTGCAAAGAAACACGCCCAATATTTCCACCCGTGCCGGGGATCGAACCACGGGCAGCGTGTGAAGCGAGAGCGTTGCCTACCAGGCCACGGGCCAGAAGGATGGCACAAGGTACGCATCGTACACCACACCATCCATTCCCTCGTCACGAACTGGGAAACACAGATTCCTGGACACCACCATTAATCATTTTAACGACACCATTGAGCAGAACAAGGATGTGTACATGCTTTCTACACCCATCACTCACATCATCCATAATTATATTAAACACCCATCCCTGACCCCTCACCTTACATCCCTCATCCCTAACCCCTCACTTTTGACCTCTCCTGTGACCCCTCTCTCTCTCAGAGGTATACATTTGCCTATTAAGCTGTAGGTTGGTGTATGTGTGCGTTATGAGAGTCCCTGACAGAGCGAGGTGCGAGGTTCTGACCAGAGCTTTGGTAAGATGGGGAAGGAAGAAGCATGGAATGTAGGAAAGGGTTGGGAGGGTGGAGGGAGAGGTGAGAGGTAAGTGGCCTATCCACTTCGGCGCAATTTAAACAAGTGTGTGTGTGTTGAGCCCAGGATGATGTGCTGTAGTAACAATATGTGTTGTTGAGCCCAGGATGATGTGCTGTAGTAACAATATGTGCTGTTGAGCCCAGGATGATGTGCTGTAGTAACAATATGTGTTGTTGAGCCCAGGATGATGTGCTGTAGTAACAATATGTGTTGTTGAGTCCAGGATGATGTGCTGTAGTAACAATATGTGTTGAGTCCAGGATGATGTGCTGTAGTAACAATAAGTGTTGTTGAGCCCAGGATGATGTGCTGTAGTAACTATGTGTTGTTGAGCCCAGGATGATGTGCTGTAGTAACAATATGTGTTGTTGAGTCCAGGATGATGTGCTGTAGTAACAATGTGTGTTGTTGAGTCCAGGATGATGTGCTGTAGTAACAATATGTGTTGTTGAGCCCAGGATGATGTGCTGTAGTAACAATATGTGTTGTTGAGCCCAGGATGATGTGCTGTAGTAACAATATGTGTTGTTGAGCCCAGGATGATGTGCTGTGGTAACAATAAAGGTGTTGTTGAGCCCAGGATGATGGGCTGTAGTAACAATAAAGGTGTTGTTGAGCCCAGGATGATGTGCTGTAGTAACAATAAAGGTGTTGTTGAGCCCAGGATGATGTGCTGTAGTAACAATAAAGGTGTTGAGCCCAGGATGATGTGCTGTAGTAACAATGTGTGTTGTTGAGCCCAGGATGATGTGCTGTAGTAACAATATGTGTTGTTGAGCCCAGGATGATGTGCTGTAGTAACAATATGTGTTGTTGAGCCCAGGATGATGTGCTGTAGTAACAATATGTGTTGTTGAGTCCAGGATGATGTGCTGTAGTAACAATATGTGTTGTTGAGCCCAGGATGATGTGCTGTAGCAACAATATGTGTTGAGTCCAGGATGATGTGCTGTAGTAACAATATGTGTTATTGAGCCCAGGATGATGTGCTGTAGTAACAATATGTGTTGAGCCCAGGATGATGTGCTGTAGTAACAATATGTGTTGTTGAGTCCAGGATGATGTGCTGTAGTAACAATATGTGTTGTTGAGCCCAGGATGATGTGCTGTAGTAACAATATGTGTTGTTGAGCCCACGATGATGTGCTGTAGTAACAATAAAGGTGTTGAGCCCAGGATGATGTGCTCTGGTAACAATAATGGTGTTGTTGAGCCCAGGATGATGTGCTGTAGTAACAATGTGTGTTGTTGAGCCCAGGATGATGTGCTGTAGTAACAATAAAGGTGTTGTTGAGCCCAGGATGATGTGCTGTGGTAACAATAAAGGTGTTGTTGAGCCCAGGATGATGTGCTGTAGTAACAACGTGTGTTGTTGAGCCCAGGATGATGTGCTGTAGTAACAATAAAGGTGTTGTTGAGCCCAGGTTGATGTGCTGTAGTAACAAATGTGTGTTGTTGAGCCCAGGATGATGTGCTGTAGTAACAATAAAAGGTGTTGTTGAGCCCAGGATGATGTGCTGTAGTAACAATAAAGGTGTTGTTGAGCCCAGGATGATGTGCTGTAGTAACAATAAAGGTGTTGTTGAGCCCAGGATGATGTGCTGTAGTAACAATAAAGGTGTTGTTGAGCCCAGGATGATGTGCTGTAGTAACAATAAAGGTGTTGTTGAGCCCAGGATGATGTGCTGTAGTAACAATAAAGATGTTGAGCCCAGGATGATGTGCTGTAGTAACAATAAAGGTGTTGTTGAGCCCATGATGATGTGCTGTAGTAACAATAAAGGTGTTGTTGAGCCCAGGATGATGTGCTGTAGTAACAATATGTGTTGTTGAGTCCAGGATGATGTGCTGTAGTAGCAATAAAGGTGTTGAGCCCAGGATGATGTGCTGTAGTAACAATATGTGTTGTTGAGCCCAGGATGATGTGCTGTAGTAACAATATGTGTTGTTGAGTCCAGGATGATGTGCTGTAGTACCAATAAAGGTGTTAAGCCCAGGATGATGTGCTGTAGTAACAATAAAGGTGTTGTTGAGACAAGGATGATGTGCTGTGGTAACAATAAAGGTGTTGTTAAGCCCAGGATGATGTGCTGTAGTAACAATAAAGGTGTTGAGCACAGGATGATGTGCTGTGGTAACAAAGGTGTTGTTGAGCACAGGATGATGTGCTGTGGTAACAATAAAGGTGTTGTTGAGCCCAGGACGATGTGCTGTAGTAACAAAGGTGTTGTTGAGCCCAGGATGATGTGCTGTAGTAACAATATGCGTTGTTGAGCCCAGGATGATGTGCTGTAGTAACAATAAAGGTGTTGTTGAGCCCAGGATGATGTGCTGTAGTAACAATAAAGGTGTTGTTGAGCCCAGGATGAAGTGCTGTAGTAACAATGTGTGTTGTTGAGCCCAAGATGATGTGCTGTAGTAACAATGTGTGTTGTTGAGCCCAGGATGATGTGCTGTAGTAACAATAAAGGTGTTGTAGAGCCCAGGATGATGTGCTGTAGTAACAATATTTGTTGAGCCCAGGATGATGTGCTGTGGTAACAATATATGTTGTTGAGCCCAGGATGATGTGCTGTAGTAACAATATGTGTTGTTGAGCCCAGGATGATGTGCTGTAGTAACAATATGTGTTGTTGAGCCCAGGATGATGTGCTGTAGTAACAATAAAGGTGTTGTTGAGCCCATGATGATGTGCTGTGGTAACAATAAAGGTGTTGTTGAGCCCAGGATGATGTGTAGTAACAATAAAGGTGTTGAGCCCAGGATGATGTGCTGTAGTAACTATGTGTTGTTGAGCCCAGGATGATGTGCTGTAGTAACAATATGTGTTGTTGAGCCCAGGATGATGTGCTGTAGTAACAATGTGTGTTGTTGAGCCCAGGATGATGTGCTGTAGTAAAAATAAAGGTGTTGAGCCCAGGATGATGTGCTGTAGTAACAATGTGTGTTGTTGAGCCCAGGATGATGTGCTGTGGTAACAATATGTGTTGTTGAGCCCAGGATGATGTGCTGTGGTAACAATATGTGTTGTTGAGCCCAGGATGATGTGCTGTAGTAACAATAAAGGTGTTGTTGAGCCCAGGATGATGTGCTGTAGTAACAATAAAGGTGTTGTTGAGCCCAGGATGATGTGCTGTGGTAACAATAAAGGTGTTGTTGAGCCCAGGATGATGTGCTGTAGTAACAAAGGTGTTGTTGAGTCCAGGATGATGTGCTGTAGTAACAATATGTGTTGAGCCCAGGATGATGTGCTGTAGTAACAATATGTGTTGTTGAGCCCAGGATGATGTGCTGTAGTAACAATAAAGGTGTTGAGCCCAGGATGATGTGCTGTAGTAACAATATGTGTCGTTGAGCCCAGGATGATGTGCTGTAGTAACAATATGTGTTGTTGAGCCCAGGATGATGTGCTGTAGTAACAATATGTGTTGTTGAGCCCAGGATGATGTGCTGTGGTAACAATATGTGTTGAGCCCAGGATGATGTGCTGTGGTAACAATAAAGGTGTTGTTGAGCCCAGGATGATGTGCTG